GTAAAAAGACAGTATAAGTCATTATAATCCGTAATTATGTCCCCACTGTATGCAACAAATGCCTCGTTTGTAATGGGTTTTATTGTTTTTGTCTTGTCACGCCGGGACACGGCATCACAGTATGTTAAGTGGTGTAACATTTCCATCACACGCTTGAGGAATTCGGCCAATTACAACACACTGGATAGCTGGCCAATCAGAGCACACCTCGCTTTTCAGACCGATGAGCTTTGTAAAAATCAACGTGTTTCAGAAAGGTGGGGCATTAAGGAGCAGCAATAATGTACAGTATGTGGAAAATAATGTGTTTTTTGAACCTTAAACCGCATAAACACATTGCATTACACCAAATACACCAAATAATGTTCTTTTTAGCAACGTCATATGACCCCTTTAATATACTTTTTTTAATATTTAATATTTTTTACAAGGGTTTATACAAAACATTCCTGCACTTTGTACCTTCTCCACAGCAGCATAACGGCTGACCAGCTGCTTCCTCAGGTCAGCGATGTGGTGGTCGTATTTCTTCATGTCTTTTTTAAAGTTGTCTCCTCTGAAGGTCAGTAAAGGCTTCTCGACTTCACTCTGGAGCTGGAGACAAAATCCTCTGCATCAGTTACACAGCTGCATGGCAAACCTGGGCATGAACACTGAACAGTATCTGAAATGAACTTGTGTGTGGGCTTTTTGTATTTGGATCGAGTTTTTGCTTCAGTAATGATGATGATGTTCTTTAAAAGAAAGGCTTTTTTGTTTTGCTGTCTCCGTAAATCATATGTGATCTGAGGGAATAAGACTGCAGAATCACCTCCATCTTTCTGCAATTAATCACCCACACTGGTGCTAAATGGAGCACGCTAGTGTGAACACGGGAAAGCACAGCGGTGGAAATAGACAAATCGCAGCAGACTGAAGAAAGCTGTTTAGCTCATTACATACAGGTGGCTAATAACATCTCTGAGGGGAAGCTATTCAGTACAGCACAGAAATGAAATAAAGGCCAGATACAGATATCTTCCCTGGCAATGCGTGAGCTTGAACTGCCAATTTCTCAGCTGGATCTTATATTACCTCGATTGAGAAATGTCACAACAGAGAACTGAGAATTGCCCACCTTTGAGGAGAACTTGAGATGGACCTCGGCTTCATCAGCTAGACTCTTCTTCAGTTGGGCCCAAGCTTCTCCAAGAGTCCTAAATCAAACCAGAGCCCAGGAAAGATGGTTAAAGCTATTGTTTTACATTTCATTTAACATTATTACACAGTCTACTTTTTAAAAGTGTCATGAAAGTGTCTCTCTTTAAGTTCACTAACGTGGCCTTTTATTTAATTAATAACGTATTATCTACAAGTACATATTTTTTAAATATATAGGCTACTTTTAAGATTTGCAGTATACAACAAAAGTGCATATTCAATACAATTAAGCATGTGCAAGGCCTTTTTAATGTGTTCATCTATTAAACCACCAGTCAACATTTTAGAACATTAACATCTTCTCAACATGATCTGTATATAGCTCAATGCTCAAAAATATTTTAATTCCATTTTTTTTCCCACATCGATGAGTTAAAAATGCAGCTGAAGGAAATGCAGCTAACAAGTGTCCAGTATACAATATTAATTAAAAATCATTTTTGTAACATACCCTTCCTCTTGCGCTGCCATTGGGAACATGGAGAGTTTGGAAAGGTTCTTGGCATATTCCTCTTCGATTTTTATCCTGAAACATCAAGCATTCATCAAGAAAAGAAAGAGATTAAAAAGATTTAATGTGACAATCTCATATAGTACCACTGGCAGAACTCCATGTGTACCATGCCAATATTACAGTCCTTCGGATTTGTATTATGATAATACCCTGAGTCTTTGAATATAGCTATCCTTCATCACTCTGTTATATAAGTATCATGGTATTAGCATCTGATACTATAACTGTACATTTTGTAGTGGCTATCTGTTCTTGTGATTGCTGCGATCCATTCCTATCCTTTCAGATGGAAGCCGTAACATTGGTTTGATAATGACATCGAGGCAATGTGAGAATCCTTCACAAATGCTTGCCTTAATATGCGAAAAAAGTAAAACTGCATAACACATTAAGGGCCAGATTTACTAAACAATGCAAATTAGCATTAGAGCGCAATTCCATAAAAGCGCCGATGAGAGGGGAAAATTCTGCGTGTGATTTACTGACAATGCGCACATTAAAAAATACAGACAAAGCCAGATCATTTCCATAATGACCAGTGCAATCTACCAAGAGCAGTGCATATTACCGCCTGCTTTAAGACGTGCTTGTTTGGGGCATTAAATAATGGCGCAAATATCAGTAATTTGACGAGCGCAAACATTACTAAATCTTGTTGCGTGATTCATGTTAATACTCTCTTCCCATAAGTTTTGCGTCTGAAAGGGAAACGCCTATAAATGCATAGCTATTCAATAAGGTCAGGCGCAAACATAACTGTGTCCACGCCTTTTCAGCACTAATTCTTCACTGCGCATCTTTAGTAAATCCTGACAGTACTATTTTAACGCCAAATGACAGTTTGCACTGGTGCAAGCTGTTAGTAAATCTGGCCCTAAGGCTTGTTTTTAGAACATTTGAAATGATGTTTTCCTAAACCATTGACAAAAAAAAATGTGCTTTTCTTGTTGTTAGCATAAATGTCTTTTGTTTCTGGCATAAAGTTGAACCACAACTCTTGAAGTAAGAAAAAAGTACACTAATAACATGTAAACATTGAACGAGTTGGGAGGTTGTAATTGCAATGTCAGGGGCTTTCAAATGTCAGTCCATGCAAGATGACAATGTACCATTTGTACAAAAAAGAATTCTGCAAGATTTTGTAATCAATTTATGAAGGTTCTATAAACCAGAATCTTTATGTATTCTATCATAGTTGTGGAATTCTATGGTATTTTGTACATGCAGCTTGGATAGTTTTATTGTAAATGAAAAAAACAGTCCATTCATTTAAACAAATTTACCATTAATACAGATGCTGCATCGATTGCATTTAACATGTTTTCCCAATGACACACCCCAAGCTTGAGTTTTCCACTCATAATTATAACTTTGTGGAGACGTTCATTTGCGTTCAACTTGTAAATACGATCTTTCTGACATGACTTGAATGCACCAATAAAGCACATCAAACATAAGCTCAAATGTGCATGTGTGACATGTGAGAACATTGATTCTTATGCATCACAAGCAGATTTGAGCTTACGTTTACCATATTTGATGTGCTCTGTGTATGTGCACTGATCAATTTTTATGTGAATAAAAGCCTAAATTAAATCTGTCCATCATATAAAGTGATTGTATCTCTCCAGGAGGCTTGGATTACACCGCTTGATTCCTATGGAATATTTTTACGATTTTATAAACTTTCTGGAGCTTGAAAATGTTGGGTGAAAAATTCATTTAGGAGCCTAAACTGAAAATAATAATAATAATAATATTCTTAATCGGTTTTCTTGACGTTGTTAGTGTAGGAAGAGAAGATATGTTCATATCATCTTTCACTTTTTTTTTATCTTTGTGACTTTTAAGAATGTTTAGATATTTTAACTGGAAAACCATCTTTTTTTTTTTATTGTTTTCAGTGTGCAAAATAAAACATAACACTCAAAAAGGCATTAGGGAGTGAGGTGTTATGTAAGAATGATGTCAGCTTGAGAGAGAGGCTTGCCCACCTTTCTCTGATGAACTCTGCCATCTCTTTCTGCATCTGCTTCCCCTTCAGCTGTTTCTGCAGCAGCACCTCAAACCCTGACACTGTGGCCCCCTGAGGGTCCCTCTTATCAGCCTGCAGAGGACAGAGCAACATTACACACACGCAGCGTCATGTATGCTACCACTTCATCAGCATCGGGCTGTCAACAACACGTGAGCACGATCAGATGTGTGTGAGTGTGGCCACATGTGTGCGTGAGTCACAGCGTGGGTTTGCATGAATCAGAGCGTGTGGGAGGGGGTGTACACCCTTGCGGGTGTAACTTTGAGTGTGCGTTTCAGTAAAGGGTGTGTATAGGTTGTTGAGGGTATGACTAATGTAATGTGAGGGCTCTTGATGCAGTCTGTGTGCGCAGCATGTTCATGAAATATGCTTTTCTTTCACTGTGTGTGTGTGTGTGTGTGTGTCTGTGTGGAGGTGTAAGAGTCTGCTGTTGTGACGGCGCTGACGTGCCATTCCACACATGACAGAAGTGTCATAACCTCTTCACACGCTCGGCTTGAGAAACAGGCAGGAAGAATCTTTCCGACAAAATACTCCTGTTATCATTTGCCTGTGTATATGCATATGTCTACATGTAATTTCAATCTCTGTCCAGGGTTATTAGAAATCCCAAAACTGAAAATTTGCTGAAAATGTTCTCACCCTCAGGCCATCAAAGATGTAGATGAGTTTGTTTCTTCATCAGAACAGATTTGGAGAAATTTATCATTACATCGCTTTCTCATCAATGGATCCTCTGCAGTGAATGGGTGCCGTCAGAATGAGAGTCCAAACAATTTATCAACACATCACAATAAGCCACGAGCAATCCACACATCAGTCCATCAATGAAGTGAAAAGCTGCATGTTTGCAAGAAACAAATCCTTGTTTGGACTCTCATTCTGACGGCACCCATTCACTGCAGAGGATGCATTGATGAGCAAGTGATATAATGTTACAATCTGCTAGCAAATGCACAGTGAATGCTTCAGATGAAGTGTAAATGTCCTTCTAGATCTCATTTTCACTTTCTTTGTCTCATCTGTCTGTGCATGGGGCTCGAATTACATTTTTCTTAAACCTGTCAGTGGTGATGATTTGAGGAAAAATACCGGTCATAAATCTTAAATAGTCGTAGTGTTGCTGAGCGGTTGCTAGGTTGTTCCGGTGGTTGTTTATTAGCCCAGGTCAAGTGTCTATGATATTCTGGTCTCTAGATATGACTCAGGTTCCCACATCATTGTAAGTTTGAGAGATTGTCTTGTCCTGTTTTATCGCCCGGCATTTAAAAGTCTGATAACTTTGAAAAACACAAGCACATCTCTCCTCGACACCTCAAGCTCATAAGTATAAACAATAATATAGTGATGCTAGTTTTGCTCATGTTAACAGCATCATGTTTGTCACAATGTAAAATAAAATAAAATAAAACTTCATTAATAAGCTACAAGAAATAAACAAACAATAAATAAAACAAAATTTAGCTGGGTTTATCCTTAAAATAAAATAAAAAACTGACTAGATTACTCAAATATAGTCTAATATAATTAAATCTTGTTTATATATAATATATATTATATGCAAAAAAAAAAAAAGACAAAAAAAAAGACAAAATCTGATTAAGTAAATGATTCACAGCCTTGCTGTGAAATGCCATCTGTCATAAAAATGTCAAAACAAAAACAAAGAAATATGTCCGCATACTGCCATAAAGTGCCAAAAAAAAACATTTAGGTCTTCCTCGGGTTGAAACGTTGCAATAACATTTTTTGGAAGCTTTAATTTCAATGTGTGGACAAATTCCTTCTTCATAAAACAGTGAAAACCCTTCATGATTTCAGTTTCTTTAGTAGACGTCTGTGTCACTTTACTTCACATCACTTGTGTCTGTTAGTCATCAGATGAGACTGTCGCTTTAACATTGCTATTTAAACCATGCATGATGCTGTTTCTAAGCCAATTACTCAGTTTAATTTACTTTTCTAAACCATATTATACTCACATTTAGCAAATTTGTGCTGACCCTGTGTGCTGTAACATAAGTTTGTTAAAGTAGTTCACAATGAGTTGTTTTCTGTCCTTCTAATGGTATTAGATGGGACCGGCTCAATAGTAGTCCTTATTGTATAGGATCAATACTCATCCACTGCGGTCCACCAGACATGATTGTCCTATTTCTCTCTCTGTCTCTCACCCAGAAATAGTCGCAGTAGCTCCATTCACTGGGCTTGAGAAGCTGCTGCTCCGGCGCAGACGTGGGCACAGGGAAGGTGACGCAATTGATCTGCGGTGAGATAAAACAGAGGAAGGTCAGCTCACAGCGTGTGTGCTGTTTTGTCAGGTTGGTTTTATTTTCAGAGGAGTGAGATAGGGATAAGTCTCAGAGGGGAGACAAATGAAAGGTCACGATGTAAAAGAGAAAGACTGGTCATATAGACCGTGACCTATAACAGCCTGAGGATGGACAGAGTGATGGAGGAAGAGAGAGAGAGAGAGAGAGAGAGGGAGTATGTTTACAACTATTTGTAAAAGCCTATGCTTGTTTTCTCTATACTGGTACATTTACCAGAGCACACCGCAATAAATACTGTATATATACATGTGAAGAATGAAAGCTCATTATTGCATACAACCACTTTACATGTTTATTTTTTTAAATTGTAAGCACATACGAGTACGCTTTCACTGTAAAAAATAAGTGTAATTTTAACTGTAAAATTTTGTAAAAACGCTACGGAAAAAACTGTTAATAGGTTAACAGTAAGTTCCCGTACTATATACAGGGAAAAACTGTAAAATATCTAACCAGACATTTCATGTAATTTTACAGTAAAATGCTGTTAATTTTACAGTTTTTAGAAGTAAAAATAACAAATAAATGTATAATTTACAGTCAAAAACTGTAAACTGATATTCCCAAAATTCCTTGCGTGACACTCCACATTTGAAAGTATTTTGTTTAAATAATCATGTTTTTTTAATAGTTTTTGTTATTAGTTATGTATATTTGGGCTTTATGTTACATCTTCTGTTGTTTAATGAAAGTTTAATGCATTATTTAAGTATCATGTGTGTTACCATGATGGTGTTTTGTGTTTGCATGAATGACCTTCTATATATTAGTATATACTTCTGCTTGTGGCGAAGCTACTTGTGATGAGCTTTGATTCTTCATGTGGCTTTCTCTTTTACCACCTGCATTATTATGGTGGTTGTCAGTATGTTAAAGGTACAAAACAGATTTTAATAGCAGTGTGAATTGTTGAATTTACTGGTTTACATTCAAATTTTCTTGTTTGTAAATTACAGTTTTATACTGTAAAACTTACCGTTTTTGGCCGTAAATGTGTTTACAATTTTTCTGTATTTTTTACAAAATTATTCTGGCAACCACAGCTGCCAAAATTATTTTGTAAAAACTACAGATTTTTTTTTACAGTGTACTTTTAATTTTAATTTTACTTTTTTATTTCTGCGACTATTTCTTTACACATTTTTCCAGTGTGCTATGGAGGTTGGGCATCCACCAGCAAGCTTTTACGGTAAATTAAAATCAAACTTTAATGCCATTTCTATTGAAACTTGTATGCCAAGTATTTTTAAATATAGTTTTATGTGATGAAGTTACATTACATGTGCTTTAGTATATAAGTCAACACATCAAAATAAGTGTACTTCTTTTAAGCACAACAAACGATTATGAAAACCTACTGATTTAAAATGTACTTTAAAGTAAAGCTTTAAATGTGACATTAGTACGAAGTGTGCTTTTTACAAGATTTTATTTCATTAATATTATACTATCGGCAAGTACAATTTTTTAAATACTAAAAGATTTGAAGTACACTACATTCAGTACAATTAAGCACACTTAGTTTTCACAAGGGTAAGGCTACAATGGGATAAAGGTCCCACTCTGACCATGAAATGTATAATGATCAGAACAAAATTACATTTTTTAATCAATATTGATGGAGCAACATCACTTGCAATAATCAAAGACGGCTCTGATTTAAAATCATTTTCAAATAAAGCAGTCAAGAGCCCACATACAATCCTTTCACTTTTTTGATGTTTGTTGAAAATCTATCACCTTGAACAAAACTGAAATTCATAAAAGTCTTTGTCTCAAAAGATATGAGTTTTAAGGACACTCAGTAGCTACAGTATATAAATTAGACACATTGTAAAAATCACTACATGTTCCATCCATTTACCTCAAAATCAACTTTTTGTCATTGCATGCTAGGACCTCATGGAGTGGAACACTTCTGCAGTGCATAGCATTCGTATTTTACCCGAGGGCTGTACCCTACTGCACAGTATGCAGGTATGTTGTAAACTGTTAGACTACTCCATTCAAAACGCCGAACCACGAAACAAGCTTAAGTTGTTAGGAGTGAGATTCCCAAACAATCACATCCAGCACTGCGTACCTCAGACTGCAGTTAGTGTGTGTGCACTCATAAAGTGTTTGAGTATACACTCTAGGGTCCATGGCGTCTCCAATTAGCCTGTAAGCACTGCAATTATGTAATGCTCACCATCTGTACCGCCTCCCTGCCACTGCCAAACAGGATGTGCTCCCTGCCATAGCCCTTCAGTGCCTCAAACACACACTCACACTTATTCATGCTCAAATACACCACTGTAAACAAATTGGTCTTAATCTCTTGTAAGCAAGCTTTTTTTTTTTTGCAAAGTTATGTTAACGATTAAGATATTTCATTAACTTTGACATCTATTTAAACTGCTTACGTCATTAATTTTCTTAAATTCAGTTGAGGCAGAACAATTTTAGAGTATTTTTTATATTTCTTCATTTAATTAAGTCACTGCTGAACTTTCAAGAAATCCCCCTCAGGCATAAAGTATCAGGGTTGTAACCAGAAACTGGAAGACCAGCATAGGGATGCATGTTTTATGCATGTATTAATATGTGGTTGCGGTCTTATTTATTGTTCACACTATAATTACTGTTACAGTAAGTATGGAAAATATTTCAATACATAAAGTAAATTATGATAGTATCACCCAGTTTGTTTGTGCCTATAAATGGAAATTGAAATGGAATTGTAATTGCAAATGTATTTATGTATATAATTTATTACATCGTTATTATAAACATGCTTTGTGCGATGATCATTCCACTTGTTGTATTCAAAATATGCTAGAGCTGAGCATAACAGGGTTAAAGGTCATTGCAAAAATGGCTAAGAGCAGCCTACGTTTGCAAATATCACTGCATAAATATGCAGATTATTATATATTTTTTAATTATTTACAATATTGTTGTGCAAACAAAAAATTATTATAAACAATTAAAATGATTTTTAATACAAAAACATGTTGTTTCATTTAAAATAATTAATATATCTAGATTTATATAAAGAAAATGTATACCAATTATTTAGCAAGTCTTTAGCAATTAATTTCATCAAGTGACAGTAAACATTTTTACATAAAAAAAAAATCAATTTCAATATATATATATATATATATATATATATATATATATATCTTGCATATGTCAAATAGACTATATATATATATATATCATCACAGCAAAGCATATCTGAATGCTAACTCCTCGACTCCATCAGCATCATTTACATCTACATCATTTGCGCAAATGGACAGGACGGTGCAATGCAAATTCTGCAAAGCTGACCACAAAGACACACACAAAAACCACAATTACAATAAAGACACCGGATAGACGGCCCTTGCATGTGCACAGTGATAAGACCCTATCCACTCACCCCAGACGCTTCCTAATCTGTTGGCGTTTGAGCTGATTTACTCATTCGTGCCTCGTCACTTTGTTCATTTCATGCCTGGAAGATCGCCCTGATTGTCGTGGCCGCTAGATTTTCCTTTACAGCGCCGCCACATCTATCACTCCCGTTGTTTATCCTTCCCTCTCATCCTCCACAAAATGAGCCCATTCATCAGATTCAGGCCCATCTTCTCTCCTTATAACTCCTCAGCGAGGTGATCCACCCTTATCAGGAGCTTATTACACCCTCTGTCCACGCTGAAATACATCCCCCTCCACATACTTAAAAATCCAGCTTCCTCTGAGCTGATGTAAGGTCAGTTCATATCCACCAAAACTGTAACATGAATCACCATTTGGGACACCGCGATGGTTTTGCATCAGTGCAGGGGAGGGCTAATACTCTTGATATTGCTGTAAACTGGTTTGGTTGAGGGCTGCAGTTATTTCAAACATGGGCTTTGAATGAAATCTCTACACTAATCAAACATCAGCGCTACTCAAGGGGCTCACAGTGGGTTCATTTCATATATACGTATCACTTTTTGTTTTTATATTTCTTCAGCAGATAACATTACCAAACACTTTAGGAATTATGAACCAATAATACTGTAGTCAGAATGGCCCAAGGGTTCTTGGTTTGGCTGGTTAGCTTTGGCAATTAGCCCCCTCATGGTAGATGCTGTGAATACACCATTATGTTTTTCTCTAGATGTTTGAATGTATCATAAATGTATTTAAAATTAAATAACAATCACAGAAAACAAAGTCAAAAACAAGCACATAAAACACATAAAACAAGATTCGCAATGAAGTTCATTGGCCACTAGACACATTTTAAATGATAAAAATTTTAATATTAACAAATCATCTCAGCAAAACCTGAAAGTCAAGAAAGAATATAAAAACTTGAGAAGAAAAGGATAGGTTGACCACTGTAACACTGTTGCCATCATACAAAAGAACCAGACAAAAGTTTGGCAATAAATGGCAAAAAAGTTTGTTTAAAGAGATGGTTCACCCAAAAATGAATTCTCTCATTTACTCAGCTTCATGTCATCCAAACATTGTACATCACAAAAAAAAACAACAACATAAAACACAAATCAAAACATACAACAAAATACAATATAAAACACAAAACAAAACATACAACAAAACTAAACAAAACAAAATGCAAAACAAAGCACAAAATACAAAACAAAACATAAAACACAAAACAAATCATACAACAAAACACAAAAGTAAAAACTAAACTCAAAACAAAATATAAAACATTAAACATACAACTAAACAAAAAGTAAAGCAAAACAAAATGCAAAACAATATAAAAAATGTAAAAAATAAATAAATAAAAAACATACGACAGAAAAAGTAAAACCAAAATAAATCTAAAACTAAACAAAATGCAAAACAAAACAACAAAAACTGCAAAAGAAAACAAAACACAAAAGAAAACAGGACAAAAAGTAAAACAAAACTAAATTTAAAACAAAAACAAATCAAAAACACTCAAACATTCTTTAAAATATCTTCTATGTTCCACAGAAGAAAGAAAGTCATACAGTATCGGAAACGACATGAGACTGATTAAATGATGCTTAATTTTTGGGTGAACTCTTGCTTTGAGAGTTAATTTAGCGCTTACATTCATGAAATCTGCCTAGACGGAGCAGTAATCATTGCCTTTAAAGTCAGGAGTTTGGAAATAAACTACAACACTGGCAAACAATGTGTTTATAACTGTGCTCCCGTGTGTGTGTGTGTGTGTGTGTGTGTGCGTGTGAGTGCTTGTATAGTGAAAGGTAAAAAACGGACGCAGTATTTGTTTGGGTAAGCAGAGTGCCTATGCCCAGCGTATGTCTGGCACGGGCCCATGAACCTGCTGCCCCACTCGCTTTTAATGCCGTAATGAACATGGCTGCTGGAAAACCAACCATTTCTGCTGAACAGCCGCAAATATCACAGACCTAATGATAGCATGCAGCATGCATGAGGGACACAAAATCACCAGGCAAGCAAACAAATAAATCTACAAAACACCAATCCAGTCAGCAGGTTTCTCTCCAGCATACACACATACATTCATCCATACAGCAATCGCAACCGCTACTCAGACTGTAGGGTGCCTGGCCTCTGTTGCTAAGCGACAAATTGCTTTTCCTGTAAGGGCATTTCCCCCCATTACAAAAAAATATTTGTATAATACCAATAACGGATGACATCATTTCTAAGTGCAAAACATTTTTGCAAACAAACATTTCTAAAATGTGGCCTCCATATATCTCTAGTTCACGATATTCAGTTGTTTACAAGCGCTGGCACTACGAGCAGCTGTTGACAGCTAGCTATTATTTGAAGCGCAGTAAAGTGCATCAGGACGGAGACTGAGCGTGAATCAGTCAGCCAAACTGACATGCTATTGGTTCCACATTAGTGATACTCAAAGGATGCTCAAGGTGAGACAAAAGGTAAAAGCTTCTAGTCCAGCCTTTCAAACCCCCAACAACCTCACGCTATTGATTCAACGTGTCTCCAATTCAGTGGTTGTCATGGAGAATCACTTGTGCGTTTTCCAGAGAGAGCTAAAAATACCTTGTAATATATACAGAAATCCATATATGCATTACACTTTTAGTAATGCGCTTTGCAATATTGATATTTATAGCCAGATTTGAGCTAAATGGTGCATTTATGCAAGATACAAAACAGTGCCATGATTCTGTGGTAGTATCAGATATACTATAGTATCTCAGTACAGTAAAATATTGTTTATATACCATAATGCAGTTTGATTGCCATAGACATATCATGGGATGTAATTGGTGATGTTATATCACAATATTTTAAAACTGTTTTATAATTATTTATATATTATTATTGTTTGTATAATGCATAATGTTTTTTCATATTTTATTTTTTTGTACGATATAGTTTGTATCTATGTGTATACATAGTATCATTTATATTACAGTATATCAGTACTACTGTAAAATTACAGTATATTAATTATAGTGTATATAGTATATAATTATAGTATCAATTATATTAGTATATTATATTAAAGTATATAATTTATAGTATATTTCATGGTATGTAAGTGGTTCTGCTATATCATTATATTTTTTTAATTGTTTTTTATTATTTATATATTATTATTGTTCGTATAATGTATAATATTTTTATATTTTATTTTTGTACTGTATAGTTTGTATCTATGTGTATATATATTATCAGTTATACTACAGTATATCAGTACTACAGTAAAATTATAGTATATTAATTATATCATATATAGCATAGAATTATAGTGTTAATTAAATTAGTATATTATATATATTAAGTATAGTATATAAATTATAATGTAGTAATTATAGTATTTCATGGTATGTAAGTGGTTCTATCATATTTTTGAATTGTTTCATTATTAATTATATATTGTTTTTGTATAATTCATAAAAAGTATTTTTGTGTACAAATATAAAAATGTCTACATTTTTCTATATATTTTTACTGTATAGTTTGTATGTATGTATGTGTGTGTGTGTGTGTGTGTGTGTGTGTGTGTGTGTATATGTGTGTGTGTGTGTGTATTTATTATACACTTTATATAAGACACACACACACATATTTGTATAATGTTCAATATAATGTGCGATTTATGATCATGTATGATGTAACGTAGCTGTGACATCTAGCTTTCAATTAAATATTTAATATAATGGTCAATAAACAAACTCTTTTCAACATATATGTGCAGGTCTTTTCATTCTCACATAATTAAATAATTAATAATAATTAAAAATAATTAGCACACGTCAATATCTCTTGTCCATTTATTTATTTATTTGCTAAGTAGCTGTGTAATAACTGGAATAATGTTCAGCCATTCAGTCATTATCAAGAAAAACTCTTCTGGGGTTTATTTGGCCATAATGACTGCACATTATCGCTTACGCTTCAATAAGTGATCAGACTTTCTTTGTTAGAGGAAATGACATGTTTATTAATGCACACCACGTACGAATGCTAGAGCAGTCGGTCTATACCTGCCTATGCTGCGGTCTATAACCGCAGCATACTAAACACGCCTGTACAAACAGTGACAGGCTGAATGACAGCTTTCTTTCATTCCTCCCATATCGCTCTCGTTCATTTCTCCCTCTTTGTGTGTGTCTTTTTTTTATTTCAACACCCATTAGTCAGTACTATTGCCTTTGTCACCATGGAAACTGGACTAGCCATGTCTTCCCCGGTTCTCTAGTCTTCTCTAGTTCCCTCTCCCTGGTGGGCGGTCTCTGTTTCTTTCCTCTGATGGACACCTCACCTGCCCTATACGCACGCCAGAATATCTGTACATCTCTCGCCATATTCACACTACAGGTTACATAACAGCAAGCCTGCCTTAAACAACATCTGTGAATGCCAATGTAAATATATACTGCAGTAACTGCTTAGAGTCACCAACCAAGTGCTTTCTTTTTTTTTTAATGAGATCTGCCCACAAAATCATCCCTACTTTCAAAGTGGATGTTCAGGCTTATTCAGAAGGAAAGGTCTTCCTGCGAGAGTTTTGGTGGGAATAAATCTGACCTGCAGTAGAATGCGAATGCAACATCTGACCTTCTGTGTGCCGCTTTATGAATAATAGCAGTGTTTCCAAATGCACTGCAACACAAGTAGTTTTTTTGAAAGCTTCCTACAGTGTATCACAGTTTTCTGCACCGTTTCCAGGTGAAGTTGGATGAAAGTGGGGTTCGAATACAGCTGCAAAGCCACGTCTCCGCACTCACACTGCATACATAATTTGAAAATAAGTGGCGTGGCTGTGAGCGCCGCGTACGTGCACGAGATTCCCACTGTCAAGCATCAGCCATGTCACATAACAGAGCGTCCGCACAGCTTGTGTTGGCATTCAAAATACTCCCCTCCATGGTGCGGTTGGACGCTGGTCAACAGCGTTTGGAATAGCAAGCGGTCTCTTGGGAAGTGGGCAAATCTGAGTGCGTTAATGCAAGAACACGGAGCGGTTCTCGAAAAGTGTCGAAAAGAAAATCTGATGTATTTTCCACTCCATTTGGTTCCGTTCAAACCAGTTCCCAAGAGTTCCATCATAGCAATTAAATCTCGGAATGGTTATTTGAATGAACGCTTCCATGTTGGTGAATCCGTTAAAACATGGTATTGCAAAACAGTGGTGATGCAGTCCACTAGTCATAGTGTATCTTCACACTCTCGGAAGCGCACACACAAACTTCCAGCAATATCACTTGTGAAACACAAACACACACACACGCAGGCGAAGCTGTGAAGACAGTGGCACAAAACACTAAGCAGATGTTTCACATCTGCGAAACACTTCAGGGAAACAGCCAACCACTGATTTGAAATCCCAGGGGCCAGATCTGCAAAACTCGCGCATCCTGGCTCTTTCTGATCAATGTTATTATTAAAGCTGTGACTGATGCATATAGAGCGTCTCTTCTATACGTCTATACGTCAGCTGTGTTGGTGTCTGTGTGTGAGAGCAATACTCACAGTGATTTTGGTCTCCTTGATCTCCTTCTCCTTATTCTGCCTCCTGGCCGGGGAGGTGGACCCTGGGCTCTGAGGGGACAGACAGGAGGCATCATCAAAACTGCCCTCTGCATCAAAGCTTTCCTCCATCTCCATTGCTCTGTCTCTCTTTCTTTCTTTCTCTCGCTGTCTCACTCTTTTTGCACTTTCGCGCCGCTGCTCTGCCACACCGCTCGACTTCCACACACAGTCTGACTGCCTGGCTGTGTTGCTGTGGAGAGCAATGCAGAGTGGAGTAGGTAACCAAGACTTCAGCAACATTTAAGAGGGCACACGGTCAATAGGATAGAGGGTGAATCTCTTTTCTGATGAACAGGTCGGATTTCACCTCAAAATCAAAAGGAAGAAAAAAGAAAGAAAAAGAAATTATAATTTGCTTAAAGGGCAAAACCTGTTTTTAGGACCATTGACATTTTATTTTTGTAGTAATTTATTTTTAACAGCACAATTTTCACTGTAATGCAAAAAAAAAACTAGGGTCAGATTTACTAATAGCTTGCGCCAGCACAAACCGTCATTTGGCGTTAAAACTGTACTGTCAGAATTTACTAAAGATGTGCAGTAAAGAATTAGCACTGAAAAGGACACTGTTATTTTTGAGCCTGAGCTTATTGAATATGCATTTGTAGGAGTTTCCCTTTCAGATGCAAAATTTATGCGAAGAGAGTATTAAAATGAAACACGCAACGTGATTTACTAACGTTTGCGCTCGTCAAATTATTGGTATATGCGCCATTATTTAACGCCCAAAAAAAGCAGGCGGTAATGTGCGCTCCTCTTGGTAGATTGCACTGGTCATTATGGAAATGATCTGGCTGCGTGTCACGGTGTTGCCTACTGTGTCGGAGCGAGGAGCGAAGGAGACGTAGGAGAATTCACCAAGAAGAGTCTTTATTCACAATTAGGAACAAGGAACACACACGTAGGAACGAGGATCGACGTTTAAGACAGCGCAACCAAACTCAGAACAGGAACAACTTAAATACACAGGACTTGATGAGAAACACCTGGGATCAATAAACATAACTGAACATGAGGGAAAACCGGGTCATGGAAAGCACGTGGGGGAGGAAAACACGGAACACAGGACTGAAACAGAGTCTGACATTACTCCCCCTTCCCGGAAGGCGCGACCACGTGCCCCACAACATCCAACGGGGAGGGGGGGTGGGCGCTCTAGAGGCCCCTCAATTAAGTATACTTTGGGCTTTAGGGTAACATATGGTTAACCTTGGGAACATTTCTACACTCCCACATTTTTGAGTAGTATATTGTGTTTTTGGGACTTTTTGTTTAGTTTTTTGTTTTCTATGTACTAAAATTTTCACAGATTGTGCTTGGTGCATACACTTACATAAACATTTGATTTCAGCATGGGACACAGGCCAAACATTTGTGTCTCTGGCCCACAGGCCACCTTCTGAGGAACCCGGTTCTGGTGTCACGGTGTTGCCTACTGTGTCGGAGCGAGGAGCGAAGGAGACGTAGGAGAATTCACCAAGAAGAGTCTTTATTCACAATTAGGAACAAGGAACACACACGTAGGAACGAGGATCGACGTTTAAGACAGCGCAACCAAACTCAGAACAGGAACAACTTAAATACACAGGACTTGATGAGAAACACCTGGGATCAATAAACATAACTGAACATGAGGGAAAACCGGGTCATGGAAAGCACGTGGGGGAGGAAAACACGGAACACAGGACTGAAACAGAGTCTGACATTACTCCCCCTTCCCGGAAGGCGCGACCACGTGCCCCACAACATCCAACGGGGAGGGGGGGTGGGCGCTCTAGAGGCCCCTCA